TAAAAATTATACCTTTTTTTAAAAAAAAAAAAAACATATTTTCAATTTACCGATATCGAACCAAAAATATCGAATTAATTCAGTAAAAAATCGTACCGAACCGAAAGGTACAGCTTATATATATACAGACTGTAAATTGGGTGGAAGTATAGGGATTATGAAATGGCAGCCCCTCTTGCACTATTTTGGTTCTTTAAAAGACAAAATCTAGTGAGGTATTTGGTGTAAAGGTCACTTGGAAGCTTCTGAGCAAAAGGCTTTCACTTTAAATTTAGGGTAGCAATTTTTATAACATAAATTTCAGAATTTATAGGTGGCAAGAATGTACAATATAATCTAGGGTAAATTACGACCACCCTTTAGGTATGGTAAAATTATGAAAATTTTCTTCATGTTTGGGTAATTATTACCACCCCTTAATTATAAATCTAGTTTCAAATTTAGTGGAATCTTCGATATTATATGGAATATTATCACTTTTGTACCCGTTTTATCCCATTCGAACTCCATATTTTGAAGCAAGATGATTATAATATGTGTTTTTTTGGCTTGTATATATCAGATTGTGGTGCATCAGAAACTGTATTTTTACACAAAACGAGTACAAACTAAAACACATTCTACTAAATCTAGATGATTATGTACTAAATCTAGATGATAAGAGTGGATGTGTAAGAAAAAATCATAGTTGAGGGGTAGATGTAATTATCCAAACAAGAGGGGTTTTTGTAAATTGACCATACCTCTTTTTTTTTTTTGATGAGAAAATTAATATATAACTAAGAAGGAAATGAAGAGTCTACAAGAGGAAAACCAATGTCACAGAAGCAAGAAATAGGAATACAATTACTATGAATAAAACCACTCCATTTGGACGAGAAAGACCATGAAGCTAAATTGTGAGCGGCAAAATTTGCGCTCCGGGGGCAATATTTGAATTTCCATTTCGGCCACAGGTGCCAAAACTTGCGGATTTCATCAATGATAACTTTCGCCGACCAATGGATAACCGAAGAATGATCATTGATAAAAAGAACAGCATTAAGGCAATCCGACTCGAGGATCACCTTGGGCAGCTTCTTCTTCTCAGCAAAAAGACAAGCCTCGTGAATAGCCAATGATTCAGCCACAAGGGGGTCCAAACAATGATGAATTGAAGAGTGCGCAAAAACAAATGATCCATTGCTATTACGAACAACAAAAGCAGTCGAGGCCACGCCGTCGATAAATGAGCAATCTGTGTTGATTTTTAACCAATTAAGAGGGGGCTTGGACCAGTACTGGGAAATGGATGAACCAGGCTTGAGAGAGGCTTTAAGTTGACTAGTCCAATGAGCTCCAACAGAGGAGGAGATCTTCAAGAGTGAATCCTGCAATGAAAGAGAGGGAGAGCCATGAGTGATAAGATTTCTGTTACTCCAAATAACATCAAAGGTGACAGCGGCATAGACAAGAAATTCTTCTCGCAAACTCTCGGAGAAATGAAGACCACCATTCTTAGCAAGAGATAAAGCAATCCAATATTTAATAGAAAAATTTTGAAACTGAGCAAGAGAAAAGTTCCATTTAGAGATAAACCAGAGTTGAACAATAAAAGGGCAGTTAAGGAAAAGATGGGAGGCAGTTTCAGTAGCTTCGTTGCAAAGAGGACATAGAGGATTGATAATGGGAAAAATAGAGCTCAGTTTGGATTTAGTGGGCAAAAGATCATGCGAAATGCGCCAAAGGAGGAGTTTATGTGGATTATGGATTTTAGCACTCCAAAGCTTTTTCCAGGGGAAAGGGTTGGGATGATGAGGTCGAGCGAACCTGTGGGCATTATCAGTAATATAGGCACTCTTCGTGGAGAATTTCCCTGACGTAGAGGGAGACCAGAAAAGAGTTTTGGACTGAAAAGTAGGATGAATATGAATCTTCCTAATCTCAGTTAACACTTCAACAGGGAAGATTTCCGCCAAAAGGCTCAAATCCCAAGAATTAGAATTTGGGAGAATCAAGGATTTAACAAGCTGAATAGGGGAAGAAGATGGGTGAAAGGAAGGGAGGGGATGAGGGATAAACCCAGGGAGAGAGGGGATCCAAGGGTCACTCCAAATGATGATGTTGGAGTTCGTAGTAACATTGAAGCAAGCCCCTTTAAAAATCAAGGTTTTCATTTTCTGAATATCCTTCCACAGACTAGAAGAATTAGGATTTGGGGCATCATGGGTAAGGAAGTCTTGCATGCCCAAATATTTTGACCTAAGAAGCTGAACCCAAATCTTTTTATCAGAGGTTGCCATGGACCAAGCCAGCTTAGAGAGAAGAGCTTTATTGAAATCTAAAGTTCTACGAAAACCCAAACCACCGACAAACTTAGGCAAACAAATACTATCCCAACATTTTGGCATAAAGGAATTTCCATTTGAGTTCACACCCCACCAAAACTTTCTAAGAGCAACATCAATTTTAAGAGAGATGCTAGAAGGAATGAGGGAAATAGACATATGGTAAGTAGGGATAGACTGAGCCACTGAGGAAACAAGGACAGATCTGCCAGCCTGGGAAAGCGTTTTAGCTTTCCAACCACACAATTTGGAGTCAATTTTGATCATGAGATCAGAGAAAGAGTCCTTTTTGTATTTAGAATGGCAGAAAGGCAGTCCTAGATGCTTTTCTTTATGGGAACATTCTTTAAAACCAAATAAGGTGAGAATGGGGTTCTTAAGGGAAGGACACGAGTTAGAGCTAAAGTGAATGGATGATTTAGAGGGATTTGGAAACTGACTGGACCACTGAGAGAATTTATCCAAACAACCTTTAATACAAAGAGCATCCTCCATTGAAGCCCTGCAAAAAATGATCAAATCATCAGCATAGAGTAAATGGGAAAAAGAAGGAGCAGTTCTAGATATTTTAACACCCTTAAAATGGCCCAAACTTTCTTCAAAATTTAAAATTCTAGAAAGAACCTCAGTGTAGAGAACAAAGAGGAAAGGAGAAAGAGGTTCTCCCTGCCTAATTCCTCTCGAAGGAGTAATGAGACCAAAAGGAGAGCCATTTATAAGGAAAGATAAAGAGGAAGTGTTCAAACACTGCATAATCCAACCAATGAATTTATTGCAAAAGCCAAGATTAGATAAAACACATTCAACAAGTTTCCACTCAACCCGATCAAAAGCTTTAGCAAGATCAACTTTCAAAGCCATTAATCCATTCTTACCCTTTTTTTTATGCAGATATGTCATGATCTCCTGAGAAACAATATTATTGTCGTGTATACTCCTATCTTTAACAAAAGCCATTTGAAAAGGAGAAATAATAGAAGGCAATAAAGGTTTCAGTCTATTAGCTAAGATCTTAGAAATCACTTTATAAGTAACATTGCATAAGCTAATAGGCCTAAATTGCTCAACAGAAGAAGGGTAAGGGGTTTTTGGAATGAGAGCAATGAAAGTGTGATTTAAAGCTTTCAGAAGAAAACCAAATTTAAAAAAGTGTTGGACAGCAGCCACAATAGCAGTGCTTGTTGTTTTCCAAAATGCTTTATAAAACAAGGGGGGGAGACCATCAGGTCCAGGGCTTTTGTTTGAAGCAAAAGAGAAGAGAGTTTTCCTAATCTCAATACGAGAAGGCAAAGAGCAAATAACATCATTAGTATCAGTTGAAATAACAGAAGGGAAAAGAGAGTCTAAGTCACCAGGGAAAGGGGGAGAATCATCAATATAATCGGTCTTGAAAAGATTGCAATAGTAGTTCACAAAACAAGCCCCAATTTGGTCAGTATTGTACACAAGCACATGATCCTCATTTTTTACAGAGACAATTCTATTATTTCTGGAGTGAATAATAGAGGTAATGTGGAATAATTTAGTGTTTGCATCACCCTCTCTTAACCATTTTTCTTTTGCCTTTTGTCTCCAGAAGATTTCAGCTCTCTTAAGCCATTCATCTAGCTCAATTTGCAGGTCATTCTCCAAAGGAATAGTCTCTCCAGAATGATCAAGAGACTGCAAGGAATGGATTTTCTCTTGAAGAAGTTTGATGGAAGAATGGCAATTGCCGAAATGGGAGATATTCCATTTTTTAAGAGCAGCTCTAACATTTTTTATTTTGGAATGGATCTGGAAATGGGGGAATCCAAAGACTGGAGAATTCCAGACATTGGTGACAATATCAAAACAGGTTGAGTCCTCAAGCCACATAGCTTCGAATTTGAATGGCTTAGGTCCATTGAATGTAGAGATGGAAGTATTCAAAAGCAAAGGACAATGATCGGAAGCAAAAGTGGGGAGATGAAGAATGCTCGAGTCAGGGAATGAGGAAATCCACAGAGAATTGGCCAGACCTCTATCAATTCTTTCTTTGATATGAGTAATTCCTTGTCTTTTGTTGGTCCACGTAAAAGGGTTCCCATGATAACCCAAATCAATCAGCCCCAAATCATTGATATCAGAGAGCATAGAGTGATTGGAAGAAGAGGCAAACGGCAATCCTCCTCTTTTTTCAGATTGAGACATCACAGAGTTAAAGTCTCCAATAACGAGCCAAGAGCCCTGGAATTCTCCAGCAATGGTTTTAAGGAGGTTCCAGAACAGGTTTTTACCAATAGGATTGCAAGGGCAATAAATGCCTTAATTGACCATACCTCATGGGTGGTTGTAATTTACCCATATAATCTATAATCACTTTTGTATTATTGTACTATAAACGCGAGCGTTTTTAATATTTAGTTTAAGTGAACAACGTTTCTCTTTCTCTGATTATATATATTAAAAATGAAAATAGAAAACTATATGGGCTAGATGCTTACATTGCGGCCCAATATTGGAATGATAACTGGGCCGTACAATCTTGTGTTACACATTAGTTTATGCCCTTATTTACTTGCTATTTAGTCATTCTCATTTTATTAATTTAAAAAAAATATAAATTATGTCACAAATTAGATTTTTTTTGTTGTATTAATAGCTGAAGATTAAGTTATCTTAATTTGTAAAAAAAAAAGAAAAAAATCAACGAAAGACAAAATTCTCCATGAATTAATTAATCAATAAAATAAATAAATCCCCGTGAAATCTGATAATTTAAACATACATATTCACAACAAAATATATATATATTAACTATCAAAATATATAATAACGCACGTGGGGACATAAAATTTTACAAACAAAAATAAATAAATAATAATATAATATTCTCTCTCTCTCTCTCTATATATAATATATCTCTCTCTAGAAGAAGAAGCATAGGAGGGCCACTCCCATTGCCAAACTTGCCCTGCTCATCAATTTCTCTGCTCCACTCTGCAAAAACACGCATTTGTTAATTATTATTAATTTAAATAACACAATTAATTATTATTTCCTAAATGTTTAAATAAATAGTTGCTATCGTGCGCTCATAATGAAGAGTTGCTATCGTGCGCTGTTATTCTTTCACCATGTTCATTTACACAATTTCCCTTAAAAGTTTTCCAGTCCGGACAAAGGACCGCAACAAGAAAAAGCTGTCGGAAAAACGACAAAACAGTTGTTGCGAGATGTCGTAAGTTCACATTATGCTATAATGCACCGACACGGCAAATTTACTTTGAGAGAAAAATTCCGCCATTGTTGCTTTGATCGATCAGCATAACGACAATGTGAACATTAAAGAAACACTAATTAACCCATGTTCTGAGTTAGGGATCTGGGCAATTGTTTATGGAAGTTTATATTTTTATCCTTAATTAATGCAATAAGTTCATAGATCTGGCGCAAGTTAGAATGTGGGAGTGAATAAATCTAAAGATACGCACCTCATCGTTGAGTGATGTGGGACTTGGAGAAATGGAGTCGGCACTAGGTCCGGGAGCTTCTGTCGGTGGGGCTGGTGGGCTGTCCAGCGCCGGCGCCGGAGAAGGAGCGCCGTGCTTCTTGCTCTTCTTCGTGCTCGGTGCTGGCGCCGTGGCTGGTGGCTCGGTGGGCGGGGCAGAAGCCGGAGACGGAGGAGAAGACTCAGTCGGTGGTGTTGCGGCTACCGGAGCTGGAGACGGCGGCGAAAGAACGGGAGCGACTGTCGGTGGTGAGCTGACTGGTTCGTAAGCCGGCGGAGAGCTCACAGGCGCCGCCGCAGTCGGTGGAGAACTGACCGGAGCTGAAGCTGGTGGGCTTGAAACTGGAGCGGCGGCCGGAGGTGTCGAGACTGGAGCAGCCACCGGAACCGGAGATGCTGGCTTGGTCGGAGGAGTGGCGGTGGGTGGGGTGGAAACATGGGCGGCGGCGGGAGCATTGGCCGGTGCGGCGGACGGAGACTGGCCGCCGACTGTAGCAACTACAAGGCAGATCAATGCGAGTAGAAAGCCTGTTCTCCGATCCATGGCTTTTTTTAGAGAGAGAAAAACTGTGGAATAATATTTTTTAATTTAAAAATAAAGAAAATAATATGTAGAGAGAGAAAGGGAAGAGAGAAGATGATCAAATAACAATGAAGATGGAGAGATATAAATAAGGAGCAAAATTTAGAGATGGGTGTTCGTCGTTCGACATTTGGGTGGGCCCATGCAAGACCGAACAAAACTGTGGTGGGACCCACTCTGCATGTGATTTAGTTTTCCCTTGCCACCTCATCCAACGGCTCTTTTACGCGTCGCTCTTTATTATTTTTTATTTTTTTCCTATTTTTTTATTGTGAAAAAAAAAAAAAAGATTTAAGAGCGCCACTAGCAATTAAAACAAAAATTGAATTCGAATTATTTGATTTACTATAGATTTTTGAATTTTGAAAATTATAGTTGAATGTGGTTTAATTAAATAAAATTTAACCAATGTAGAAAGGAAATTTATCGAACTGAATACGAATTGAGCTTGGAGTTGAAATTTTCGTACATATTGTGCTAATTTTATTTTGAGTGCAAGCTCAAATTGAACGATAATAAATGTTTTAGTTGGATTTGATGTGTTAGTAAATCTATTACAAATTATGCACTGTCGAATGGTCCACCAATTAAAGTTGCTATTGATGAAATAAGAAAGTTGTTATTGATGAAAAAGAGACTCCAAAGTGGATCGGTTGACCGATAAAATCGACTCATGTTCAACTTTACATTATATGGTTAATATAAGTAAACTATCAATAATATAATAACTGTATTGAATTATAATTGCATTTCTTTAGACAATATAATCCCGCGAAACACGTAAATCTCATCCAAATATATCTCCCGCAAACTCTCCCTAGATTAATTCCACTTTTTCGAAATTCTGAGCAAAGAGGTCGTGAGAATTATACTGCGCAAATTCGCGGCAATAAATCAATTTCATGAGTGTTTGAGTCCGTCGAGGTGTTGAGAAGAAGGGTGAATCTGAGACAGTAGCGACAACTGATGGTTGGTTGTTGGTTTATGGGAAGGACGTAAATTCGTAATTGAATTACTAATCGACTTTAAAAGTCAAAGTTGATTAATGTAAATTGGTTCCGTACATAATTCATGGTCAATTAACGTGAATCGATTATACAATTTTCAACATGACTGTGTTTTTTGTTCTGGGTTGTAGCAGACGGGTAAAAACCCTGCGGTGGTGCTCTAGATCGGTCGGTGATTTTGTAGTCTCTATTTTTAAATAGTAATTAATCATTAACTATGGAGTAATTAAAATTTCTTACTCTCCGTACCCATAACTACGTTGCATTCATCTTTCCAACTTTTGTAATGATGAGTATGATTTGAAAGAAAAATAAATAAAATAAAAATCAATAAAGTAATTAAGAAAATGAAAGAATTATTAAACAAAAAAACTCACATAATTAAGAGAATTAGCAAACAATATCACACCCGTTTATCTCTTTTATCTTTTCTTTTATTATTTTATGGTTCTTACAGCTGGAACCAGTAAGAAGATTATTAGCCAATAAAACAATTACACGTGTACTTAGCGGCGGAGAGTTTTACAGACCCACTGTGCACCGTCAACGCATGGGTTCAGTGGTCCAACCAATCAGATTTGGTGCTTATAAGACTAAATATAGCCGTTTACACCTATTTATTTATGGGCAAAATGCACTTTGCCCCCTTAAAAAACTCACAATTCGCACTCTCCCCCCTAAGAAACCGAAAAAGAGACTCTCCCCCTTCCAAATTGTGCCCCAGTTGCACTTTGCCCCAAAATTAGAATTCAGGTGATTTTTTTCACTGGAAATCAAATTTCTCCATCCAATTAGGGGTATATGCGTCAAATCATCTTTTCCATCCATTTAAAAAATTTTAAGGGTTCAAAACGTGTTTTTCCTTCAAATAATTTATTTGTTTGTTTAATTTTTTTCATTTACAAATTATAGTTTTTAATGCAATATATTCAACTTTGCATAATTCCAAAAATATTTTCATATTTGTCATTCATGTTACAAATATTTTCATTATTGTTTAATAAAATTTTAATAGTATTGAAATTTAAAGAAACAAAATGCAAAAATATAAATTCAATATAATTGGCAAAATGAAAGCAGAGAAAAAAAGCAGTAGCAATCTTCTTCCCGACGCACTTCCTCCACAAACTTCCACCGTCCACAACTCTGGATCCGCCATCTGTTCCGCCTCCAGTAGCCACCAAACAACAGACACCACAGTGGCTAGAATATCTCCTGGAACACACCACGGATATACATAACCCGCCATTG